AAATATATTACATTTATAAGGAAAAACTGAGTAAAGCAGCAAACTCTTACATTTGATAGTGTGAAACAATGTTATTTTTTTATTGACTTGATAATGACTTGAGTGATCAAAATTGTTTTTAATAGTTTTTTCTGTTAATCAACTACTAAATTAACTGTTTAAGAATTAATCAATACTGTACAATTGCATCAGCAGCTCTGTAGTCATAACTTGACCCTCACCACCCCATGGCTGAAAGTAAGGTTACAGCAATCTTTTATAGTATTGCAGTTATTTTAGCACTATGGACAATATTTGTGTCTTACCACGTCTGTGAGAGAGAGGGCGCTATTCAGCAGGAAGCACTGAGCAGCGCCTCTCAGCAGGACTTGATGAGTGACCATGGTGCAGCGCAGAACCTCTCTGTGAACACCACAGATTAAAATGAGCTCCATTATCAGGCATTATCAGCTATGACACAGTCTGCCTAATTGTAAACAGGTACCTGACAGCTGTGAGCCCGTCGAGCCCCAGAAGTGGACTTGGGGGGAGTCTGGATAGAGCCTGGGAGAGGAAGAGGAGGGGGACTGCACACCAGTGTTTTGAGCACAGCTGCTGGATCATGTGGAGCAATATACGGCCTACAAAGCAAATATATTAGTAGACAGGCATTTTATCCATGAGAGATGACTCAGAGCTTTGTTAACATGTATTCTCTGTGGCCTCTGTACCTCTATGCTCTGGCGGTAGGCTGCTGAAGAAGGTGGCCACAAACACTTGGAGTTTAGCCCCAAGCTCAGGACAATCTCCTACTTTCTCCTCAAGTGACCTACATGTGGACAGAAGTTGGGTTAATGAAGAAAAACACTTAATAACGCTGTAATTCCTGTAGTATTTTATGTATTTGCTTGGTCTGTAACGCCCACCTCTGGAAGAGCGACGTTTCAGAGAGAACATCCATAAAAGGGCCAACGATGAACTGAAGAGCAAAGCGAGGCATGAGTAACACACTCACAGTAAGCACTAAGTCACACTGAGTAAATTGTGTCTGAGCCTGTACCTGAGAAAAGGCCAAAGCAAAGTCTGGCTGCTGCAGGACCTGCAGCTCCAGCAGATGACACACTCCCTCTCTCATTAAGGATTTATTCTCACTGTGGAACATCCGCTGGTACACACACAGCAGCCAGGATGGGTGGAAGAGGCTTTGACCTGAAGCTGCAACACAGACAGAGAACTGATAACAGGCTACACCTAATTTGGAAGAGTCTGCCATTGTCTGCGATAAAACAAGCAAAAGTGTGTTGATGAAATAGTGAATTTTTGATGAAAGTTTATATGTTCAGTTATGCCCTTTTGATTCATGAAAGGCTAATGGGATGGACCTATCATCTAACTGTCTTGAACAGCCACATCACTACATGCAACCAATCTACACCAAAACAAAACCAAAAATGTCTCAAATCAAAAACGTATTTTCTGAAAAGAGGTGGAGACGAATTGAATAACTGCAAACATTCATAAAAAAGATATAAAAGTGACTCCTTATGTTGGCCAAATCTAGTGTTACCTTGACTATCATTCACTGTTGTTTGGATCAACGTGTCTATTCTGTTCAGAACTGGCCGGACGACATGAACCTGCAGAGGAAAGAGAGACAACCGACATTACAGATCTGTTTATTGTGATGCACACACCAACAGTCATGTGCGATTTTCTACCTGGTTTTCCTCCAGGGTCTCCATCACCAGTGCATAATCCTCCCAGAACTCCCTCAGCAACTTGCTCCTGCTGGAGGCCCACCTGAACAGGATCTCATCTGCAAACAAGTTCAAGAACAGTACGAAACAGACCATGTAACAGCAGTGAACCTTACGTTGGTGCAGTGTCAGCATCTGAGCATCTTTTACCTTCCCCTGATGGACAGAGAGGACAGTCCACCCCCTCCTCTTCTGACAGGGCCACGCACTTTTTCAGCAGGTACAACGCCCTCTTACGTGACACGCTGTCCCTGTGCGTCAGTCCATCCTGAACCAACCTCCAGAACTGGACTGACAGACGAGGCTCACAGGAGGAGGAGGAGGAGGAGGAGGAGGAGAGGCTGTGAGGTTTCAGCAGGTGGTCTGACAGGGCGGTCAAACACAGCAGTGCCCGCTCTGTAGCCCCAGGTGTGCGGTCAGCGGAGTGCCAGCTGCACAGATCATCCAGGATCAACCCGAGGCTGCCTCCTGAGCTCGCCCCGCTGCAGCAGTTCAGGAGGGTTAGGAGAAGCCTGACTGTGATTTTGGAGACCAGCGCATCGGGGAGTGTTTTGATGCAGGACAAGGCAGATGACAGGGTGGTTAGTGTGAGCTGCTCATCCGCTGACAGTGACGGGATGAGAGCAGCCATGACTTCGCTGGCAACCTCCACACCGAGTCGTCCCGGGCCGGGCGCCTCCTCCTCCGACAGCCGGAGGGACGGCAGGACGGACAGAGCTACCCGCCCCGGTACAGCCTCGTCGCACAGCGGGACACAGACACTCACAAGTCGGCAGGCAGCAGCGGTGCTCTCCCTGCACCGCATGCCTTCGCCGGCTTCGGCTGATATTGTGGAAAGAAGAGGAAGACACTGGGTCCAAATCACCGACTCGATTTGCTCTTTAACAGAGGCTTTTTTCGCTTGTGAAAGAGTCGTGTTTGAGTCGGCCATAAGCGGTCCGAGCCCTTCAATGAAAGCTGTCAGCGCCTCCACCCGCTCCGTCCCCGGCCACGAGTCACTCGGCCAGCACAGAGACTCAAACAAAAGGCCATAGTCAGGAGAGCTGGACAACACGGCGTTAATTAAAACGGAATACATTGTAGAGAGCTGCTATACTGCCGGGAACAAACGAGCTAAAGATAACCCGCAACCGGCGTTTCCCTCTGCTGCCATGAGCAACACGTTTTTCCTAACGGGATGTAAACTTCCGCAGACGTAATCCCCCCCCAACTCTCGCGAGAGGTGTGACTAGGATCTCATGCTTTGCACAAATTGAAAAAAAATATATATACCAAGTGAAATATACCCATTAAGAGGATATCAAATTTAAAAGCATACTAAAAGCAGGATTTCCATTAAAAAAAAAACACAATGTATAGACTCACACTAACATAATCCCTCTAAATCATCACTTATGACCATTTAAAAGTGTGTGACAGTGTGTGTATCTGCAGAAACCTGCTCTCTGTTTGCAGCTTCAACCAGCTGATGAACAGGTGAAAGGTGTTCTCTCTGGCTCGCCCAACATTACTAACGTACCGGATCAAGAGTACAAAAAAAGACCAAAACCCCGGTTTCATTTAGTAGCATTAAGAATTTATTTTGACTATGATAAAAAAACATTGCTTCAGATAAAAATGACTCACTCAGTATTGTGGATTAACACTGAAAGTTGTTCGTACATTATTGGCCTTGAGTAAGACTTTTTATGTGCTTAATGATGAGTGAGTTCATGCTGGCTAAAGACGTCAGTTCTTTTGCATAGCAATTATCATTTACAAAACAGTGAAAATAATGTCCGAGAGAACCCCGACAGAGGGTCTCTTTGTTTGGGGGTTACATAATACAAAAATACTGCAGATTCATTATACACTTGCTGGTTACAGAAATAGTGCTATACAAATAATACTTTTCAGTTGTAATTACGACAGCAGGAGGAGAGTATAGAATGGGGAAGCTTTGGATGAATGCATTACCAGCTGTAAAGAGGTTCAATTTTCCACATCGGCAGCTACATTGCTGTGGCAGACTAATAGGAAAAGCATGACAGAGCACACTATACAAAAATAGAGTATATGATAAAATAAGATTTTTTTTAAAAAAAAGAAGACAGAATACAGTAGCACAAACATTAGCACTGTGGCTTCTGGAAATTCTTCTGAATAAAACAAGGAAGTGTTTACATTAGCAAATGGAAATGGAAAGGAAAGTAATTCCCATTTTATGAATGTCCAATGCAGCCCGACTGCATGGCTTAAAAATGTCAAACCTTACCCATTCCAATATTTCGTAAAATGAAAGAACTTTACAAAAGATGTGAACTTTACAAAAAGACAATAAAATTGATTGAAAATGTTCTTACTCAGAGAAAATGAAATGTAATAAAATAGTGCAAGTAGTATGTACACAATATACAACATTTATAAATATGCTCTGTTTACTGATTGAGATGGTGCTGTCACATAATCCACAGCACTTCTAAGAAGAATGAGAAGTCTCTCTGTAATCTGAAGCACACACACATCCCTCGGCTGTCATCGTCCCCTCGCAGAAAACACTGAGACATTCATGCATTGGCAACCTACAAATTAAGTTGCACTGTATGTAAAAGAAGAGAACAGGCGTATTTGTAGATGCTTGACATGTTCAAAGTATGAATTCTAGGAACTGTTCATCACCTAACATGTCCAGGGACAGGCAGTTGGTAGACCTGCGGCCATAGAAAGAAGGTTTGGCTTGGCAGTGCAAAAGGGAATAATGAGTGTGATCAACAGGGGTCTTTTTGTTTGTTGAGACATCTGGGAGCCCAAAGGTATAGCTGTGGGAGGAATCAGGTGGCAGTGTCGTCCCCAGGGGGGCCGGAGGTGGGAACAGACGTACATCATCTAGACTGTGGCTGTGCCGATCCACACAAACTTGTGTCCTAGATTTCTGCATCTAGAATAGAGACAAGAGGAAAAGATAAAATACAACAGGAAAATTCAAAAGACGCATTAAAAAAAAAGCCTGGGAGGGCGCCCGGTTAGCTCAGTGGGTAGAGCTGGCGACCCATGTACTGAGGCTGAGTCCTTG